AGGCCACATAAAGTTCGTTGAACAAGCATACATTTGCACACTCCTGTGTTGGGCAGGCCGAGTTAGGAGATCCTTTCCTTTGCTTCCTTTATCACTATAACTGCCACACCATATTTAAATTACCCACACTTACCCTTTCCAATTGGGCTGCAGAGAACAGGTCATATTCACATTTGGTAACCCTAGAGCTCCACATTTGTTCCTTCATTCAATGAGTATTTATCAAGTGTCTACTACTCCCCAGGGTTCTGGGAAAACTGCAGTGAACAAAACAAAGTCTTCATGGCTCTCATATTCTAGTGAGGGGACTTTGGGAGATTGCCTACATAACAGGCACACAAGATCTAGTATTCATAATGAAAAATTTTGAAAATCAGGCAAATGAAAGAGGATTCTTAAACCACTGTCTAAGCATACCATTGGGAACATTGCTCTGACTCATTTTTTCTTTAAACAACAAATATGGCAGTGAGTAATGCAACTTAAGCAACAGATTGAACTGCCCTAACTGTGGATCCTGTGGTCTCTAGTAAATGGTAATTCTCCCAACTGGGGGAAAACATTTTCCCTTATAGATGGAGATATAACCTCATATTCAAACAATCCTCTAGGGTAGGAAGGGAATGAATAACATTCTATTTAATTAGATGTTAGGAAAAAGCTGTAGAAGATTAAAGATTTTTAAAGATACCTTAAGATACCATCACATTCGTAAGCCAAATCCCTCACTTACAAACCGTGTCTTTTTTACATTAGAAGAGGAAAATTGACATATTTCCTCTTTTCCTAAAATGTGCTTATTAGATAACTTCTTAAATCACTTTTACTCAGGGATGATATAATGCATTAGTCACTATTCTCTACAAAAGGACTGAGGATGATAAAATTATTATAAGAAATGTATACAGTTTGAAATAAGTGTGTTCTCCTCGTCACTTCCCCCATTTAAATTAGCTCTCTCAATTAAACATCTTTCTAGATTTCTAAATATCTGTATTTTTGCTTTTCCTTATGAATTTCTGTGATCTTCAGAACGCAATACCCCTTTACCCTCTGCAAACCGAAAAAAGCTCTTCTACCTCTGAGGAGTGAATTTCAATGATTTCCTTGCTTGTTTCCTGAGCTCTTCATGTCTCTATAAAGCTGTCTGGCAGGTAACTCAGACTAAAACATGCCCATTTTCCCAACCTGCAGCAAACCTGCTCCTCCCACTATGGAAGGGACACAGCTCAGTAAACGGCACTGCCATTTATACAGATGCTCAAGCCAAAAATCTGGCATCATCCTTGATTCCCTCCCTCTCTTCCTAACCTCATACTCAGTCTGTTTCTATCTCCTGTTGATTCTTCCTCCTAAATGTCTCAAATCTGCTCTCTTTGCTCCAGCCCTACTACCATCTCCCTGGCTCTAGCCCTAGTGAAGACCCTCATAACTTTTCACCTGGATTGCTGCTTTATAATCGGTCACTAGTTCATCCGTTATTCCCATGTCTATCTAGCAAATGAAGTGATCTTTTTAAAATGTCAATCTGACCATGTTACTGTCTAATTGACAATACTGAATGTCCTTCCATTGTCAAAAGGGCAGAGAACAAATTCCTCAATGTGGCCTCTGGGCCCTTCACGACCTGGCCCCTGCCTACCTCTCAAACATCATCTCTCACTACTCTCCTCACAATCAAGCCATACTCAACTGTGCAGATTTCCTTGATGCCACCATACTTTTAAACCTCTGTATCTTTGTTCAGCCTGTTTTTTTGGCTCACCACATACCCCTTCTCCCTCTCTTAGAAAAGGAGGTCTTCCCTGACCCTCTGAGGCAGGCTAAGTTTCTCTTCTTCTAGTTTCCCATAGGAGGAAGGGCCATGTCTGTTTTGTTCATTCCAGCATCCCTACCACCGATCACAAGGTAGTCAGAATAAATATTTCTTAACTAAATTAGTGTGATTCTAAGTGAAAACTCATTATTGAAAAGAATTGAGGGTGAATACAATTATTAGAAAATATAAGAAACTTTTTTTTCAAAATGCACAACTGGTCACATTTGATCTCTGGTGAATATCTGTAACATTCCCAGGTTTAAGTCCTGAATGTTAAGTCTAGAGTCAAATTTGCACTTCACCAGACCTACAATCCTGGCTGGTGTTTAGCTGCCCAAGTTGCCATCTGGGCTGACTCATTTTAATTTGACTGCGTGAGATTAGCTTCCACAGCTGTTGTAATACTGTATTGTCAGTCATTTGCCTTTTAAATCAGAGTTTAACTGATCTGGAACAAAGAAAACAACAACCTTTAGAAGATTTATTTTTCAATCTTTTAGCAGACAACAACTAGCATTCTTCTCCATAGATCTCCATTTACAGCTCTCTCAGATTGTGTATATTCTTTACTAGAAAATAAAAACAGTGAGTGGGACTTGAGGCTATATTCCTAAGTTTTAACTTGTCCACAATAGATAAAATTTTAATGTATGGTGTTTGAAAATAAAAACTGAGTTTTCCCCAAATGCTAAAAACTAGGATAAAGCATTTAAGCCTCACTCCATTCATTCAACAAATGTTCACCAGACACTTCAGGCTTGTGATGAGTGCTGTGGTAGAATTATATTTTGATGTATTTTATAATGTGCTTTGAGCCTCTGCTTCTTGTTACCCTGTGACCCTTCAGACAACAGCTGGGCATTCTACTTGTATGTGTCAGAGAAGGGTTTTTACAAAAGAACACAGGAGGAAAAAAAAATCCTAGGCCTTTAAGCTTCAAATCCTAACCCCTGAAAGACTTGGGGCATAACATTTTTAAAAACCATGTAATCAGTTGGAATTTTTTTTCTACCCCCAGATTAGATAAAGAATCTATGCAAAGAGAAAAGAAGAGGAGCAAAGAAAAGAAGAGGGGAGAGGATTAGAGGGGGAAGGAGAAGAGAAGGGAGAGAGGAGAGGAAGGGAGAGGAAAGGAGGGGAGGGGGAAATAGGAGGGGAAGGGAGAGCCAGAGGGAGGTAAAAGGAGATTCCAGGCAATCCCCCAGGCAAGGCCCTGTCCTAGACCTCCCTGGACTCTATTCAGCCACAGAGAAAGTTGGAACCTCCTGACACATTTGGGAATCTAAGAGTAAATGGGAACCCATCCCACCTTTCCCTGGTATTGTTGTGAAAAGCAAAAAGGCATCAGAGTTTTCCTGTGCTCATCATTGTATCAGCTAAGATCTAATGAGGAAAACAGGAACAACTCTATAACTGAGAAAATTTAATTGTGACAGGGAGTTGGCTACATAGGTGGTAGAGAAACTGAGAAGCCAAGTGGGATAATGACACAATCCAGAGATTAGCAGGAGCAGGAAGCCACTACTACCCCTGCTGGAAGGACAATGGGAAGAGATGGTATTATTGGAGCCCAGGGGCCAAGGTCTCCCAAGGAAGCTGGAACCACAGCAGGCCTGAGTAGGGGGATAGATCACAAAGGAAATGCAGATGATGATGACGATGCAAAGAAAGGTGGAGGAAAACCCTGGCCTCTCCCTTCTTCTGACCCCCCAATTGCTCATAAACACCTGACAAGCACCAAACCCAACTGGAATCTAGCTGACATGAGTCAGCCACTCTGTAGCAGAGTGAGAGAAGGGTGAGGCATGAGTCCGAGGGCAACTACACCCAGATGTGAGGGCAGGAAAATGTCTGTAGGAGATGTCTAGGACTATGGATCTAAGACAGTCTCACAGAGTCCCCATGCCCCAGTATGACCTAGAGGGGGCCATACCAAGGCACAAATGACAAGGTAGCCTGAAGACTTAAAGGGACCTTGGAGCTGGGACAAGGAAGACACATTAGGGATCTACCTGGATAGGAAACCAAAATTCAAATAGGCCCTCAGATGTCTCAGTTGATTCCAGGCTGGACAGCAGACAACATTAAGACCAGAGTTGACTCTACCATAATGAGTTGACTACATGTAACTACCCCCAACCCCACTCTCATACCACACTTAGATGACAGTTCAAGGAAGAGAAGAGGAAACCATCTAGCAGAATGGAGGCTGAATCTAAATTCACTCTTAGATAAAGAAAGAAAGAAACTAGACTGATGAACAGACACAGTCCTTCATCTAAAAGAGCCCACTGAATGTTTGAGAAGGATGGACACATAATACAGATATTAGTAATGCAGTGAGAAACAGAGAGAAACAGGTCATATTAAAGGATGCACTGGGGCTGGAGATGTACATACACAAGTTCCGGTACTTGCCTATAAGGTGAGGCTTCTCAGAGAAGGCCTCACAGAGAGGTGATATTTGACAAGCTTGAGGGATGATTAGGGATTTAGCAAGCAGATGGGGGAGAGATCCTTACCTCTGTTGTCTTCCTCTATCCCTCCTAACACACTGATTTTCAAGAGAAGCCAGGACATTCCTTATATAATACATTCCCTTAAAGTCTTTCAGAAACATGGCAAATCTCTCAGAGTTTATCTTTCTTTTCATTAGTAAATGGGGCAGTGCTGGAGTGATAGGATGGGTGTGACCTGAGTTTCAACTCTGATGAGCAGCATCAGCAGATTGCAGGAAAAGAGTTCCTTAAAATGTAAGGCCATTGATAAGGCCATTTTTAGACTTCAGTTTTGAACCAAAGACTGAGATCTCAAGGCACTCAAGGAATCTTATAGAATGTGCACTCCACAAGAAAAATGTACATAAGCCATCTAAAATATATTATCTCCATATTGACCAAACTTCTGTAATGAAACACATTTCAGATCTATCATATCAAGACCTTTCCTCAGAATACCGTATTTTGCCATTTTTTAAACAGAGAAACAAGACCATTGATTTACATATAACCGCATCTATCATTATTCCAGAAACAATATTCCTAAACTTGCCTTGTATAATCTAATAATTTAAGAAATAAAAATAATTGTTGTTCTCTCCTTTGTTTACAAATGGAAAATGATTATATTACAGGAAACACTAAAAGTCATTGAACGGTTTTGAACATTTTTTTTTTTTTACCTCATCAGAGATGTCTGTTCCGGAGAGATCTAGTGATACCAAGGAAAAGATGTTTACAATATATGCAATTCCTAGGTCAGTCAAATGTTCACAATTTCATAAACTCAAGTAGTTGCCAGAGGTAGGGAGTCAGGGGTAGGCAAAATGAGTGAAGGGAGTCAAAAGGTACAAACCTCCAGTTATAAAATAAGTTCATGGGGATATAATGTATAGCATGGCGACTATAGTTGATAATACAGGCATACCTCACACATATATGTGGGTATATATGTGTGTATGTATGTAGATATATGTGTATGTATGTATATATAAATTTATATTATAATCCAGGAGTCATCAAAACTCAATAGAAAACGATTTTCAGATAATGGTCCACATTAATTGGTTAATGCAGTTAGTCCCAAACCTGGTTGTGTGTCAAAAGCATCCATGTTGTTTTCTAAAAAATACACAAGCTGGGGTTCTATCCTGAAACATTCAGATTCAAGAGCTCTGGGGTTGGGCTTGGGCAGATGTAGTTTTATTCAGCTCCTCAGGTGATTCTGACACCCTGCAAATTTTCCTTTTAAATCATATATATTTTTTTAATTTACCTTTTTTTTACTGATTCCTAATTTAATTGTGTTGTAGTGAGAGAATATAATATAATACCAATAGTTTGAAAGTTGTGGGAACTTGCTTTAAAATTTTTCACACAGTCCATTTTTTAAAAGATTGATGTGTGGTTGAGAAAAATGTATATTCTTTGACTCTCAAACTTACTCTCTTATAGATGAATTTTTAAAATCTAATCTGATACTCTGATATTAAACCTTCTCTATCATTTCACCCTATGTTATACTCTCATATTTTTCATCTTTTTTTTAACTCTCCTGTCATTTCTTCAGTTATCTTCCGATTCTGTACTTCTCTCTTCAGTGAGTTCTAATCTGCTGATTAGAAATCCATTGAGTTCCTTCATTACAAAAACTATTGTATTTTTTATTTCTAAAAATTAGTTTTTTTTTCAAATAAATCTAGTTATTTTTATCATATTTTGTTGCCTGCTCATATTTCTTTTATTTTTCTTTTTGAGGAAGAGTGGCCGTGAGCTAACACCTGTTGCCAATCTTCCTCTTTTTTTTTTTTTTTTTTCCTCCCTAAAGCCCCCAGTGCATAGTTGTATATCCTAGTCGTAGGTCCTTCTAGTTTGTCTATGTGGTGTGTGGGACACCACCTCAGCATGGCCTGATGAGCGGTGAGTAGGTCCGTGCCCAGGATCCAAACTGGGGAACCCCGGACTGCCAAAGCAGAATGTGCAAACGTAACCACTGCACCACCGGGCTGGCCCCGCCTGCTCATATTTCTGATTCCGTTATTTATTTCTTCAAACATTTCATTATAGTTACTTAATATTCTAAATCTGATAATTCTGATATCTGAATTGTTCGAAGGTCAATTTTACTTTGCTGTTTCTGGTGACTCTTTCTCATGGTGACTCATATCTTTGTACATTTGACAGTCTTTAATGGTGAGCACCTATTTCTTTGATCTTAATCTATGGGAATCTGGGAAGCCTAAATAGAAGATGCTTTCCTCCAGAGAAGCTTTGAGCTAACTTCTTCCTAGATCCTGGCTGCTACCTACCTGAGACCAATTTGTCCCCCTTGAAGAGGTCAAGACCATGTAGAAGTCTCAGGTTCTGCTTTCCTATCTTGAGTCTTGCTCAAATCTGATTCTCTCAATGGCAATGTTGAAATGAACATTTATGCTCAGAGCAGTTCTACCTTTTCTTTGCTTGCTATTCACTATTCATCTCAGAGAGTCCGTGCATTGAGAGGGTGGTGCAGAATTAGGATATTGGATGTTGGATATTTCTCTTACTCTTTGTGGCCTCAGCAACTTATTGAAAGTATGTTTCATCAGGATCTAAATTGTTTGTGACAAGGAATCCTTTGAAGTGTTTTGTCCATTATACTGCTGGAAGCAGAGAACCTCCATTTATTTTAAAATTGGTTAACCTGCAGAAGCCTGAGTGAAATGTAAGAATTAAATTTAATTTTATTTCACATATTAATACAGGTAGCATTAGCTGTTTTATACACACACACATATATATACATATGTACACACACATTGTGTGTGTATCTCTGTTCTCTATCCCTATGTAACAAATTAACCCAAACTTTGTGGCTTAAATGACAAATATTTATTATCTCCAAGTTCCTGGGTCTCAAGAATTTGGGAGTGGACTAGTTGAGCGGTTCTAGCCCAGAGTCTCTCATGAGCTTGCAATCAAGATGCCAGCTGGGACTTTAGTCATCTGAGGGTTTGACTGAGGCTGGAAGGTCTGCTTCTGAGCTCACTCATGTGGCTGCTGGCAGGAGGCCTCATTTCCCAATCCAGGTTTTTCCCATTTCAAATCTTGTGTTTCACCCCCCATCCACCCACCCAACCCATGGTGCCTCTCCATTTTAATAATAGAGAACATGGGTTAAGATTGTGTGTAGCTTATCTTACTACTCTGACTTATATTTTCCCAAATATTAGCTAACTTCATTGTGGATCAAATGCTATTTTGTTATCATCTGGCCCTAGAAGATTATAAGAAATCTACACAGGCAAGAGGCTGAGATATCCACTGGGGAAGATGTTTCAGCAAGAATTTGATCGTTGTCCACCTGAGAATACCAGGATAGACGCTCAATAGTAGCCCAGCTGAAGAAAGGGTTTCAGTAAGAACTCGCCATCTGTCCATCTGTGAGCAAATCCATACAGAGGAAACATCTAACCAGTACCCAAGGGGAAACACTTCAGTAAGATTAGTTCCTCATAAGCAAGTCAGAAAGTCTATTTGGAAAAAGACCTGTAACCGAACTAGCTGTGAGAATCCTCACTAGGAAAGGTAACCCATAAGTGTTCCTGTGAATTCATTTAATCTCACAAGGGCCCATGATTCCACATATCCTGTACTTTCTCCAACAATCTCTCTGCACCCCCATATAACCAGTCCAGGTTGCGGTGTCCTTTGTGTTACCACAGAACTCTGCCCTTACCTCACATTAACACTTACCTCCTGACTTTCATATTTACTCTACTAACCAATGAGCTCCTTGGGGAGAGGGCCTGGCACATTCTGGATGATCAATGTTTTTTGGATATATGACTGAATGACTCATTACCTTACACAGTTTGCCAAATTCGGTCTGGTCAGTTGTTTCAAAGGTGAAGGTGACTTGAGGCTACCATCTGTTATTCCCTTGCAGTCTGCCACGTATATATGACTAATATTTGGATAATTCTTGTCTATAAATTTGAAGCATGCATCAGTAATCCTTTTATTTCCTGCTTTAAAAAAAACAGAAAAGGGGCCAGCCCGGTGGCACAAGCCGTTAAGTGCGTGTGCTCCGCTGCGGCAGCCTGGGGTTCGCTGGTTCGGATCCTGGGTGCGCACCGACGCACTGCTTGTCAAGCCATGCTGTGGCGGCTTCCCATATAAAGTGGAGGAAGATGGGCATGGATGTTAGCCCAGGGCCAGTCTTCCTCAGCAAAAAAAGAGGAGGATTGGCAGATGTTAGCACAGGACTGATCTTCCTCACACACACAAAAAAAACCAGAAAAGACAAGTATTTTATTTGTAATGCCATAGAGTAAAAGTAAAAATGAATGCTGAACCACATTTTTAATAGCACAGACCTTCAAATCAGATCTTTCTGAGCTTACAAGTAGAATGAGCTTTGAAAGCACAGAGCTATGTGGTGCACCAGTGAAAACTATCGATGTAATATGAGGGCATTTTTTAACTAAAGCCTTTAGAAGAAACAAAGATGATTAAATTAAACACAGTGTATAGAACAAGCTTAGCAAAGTAGTGAAGTCATTTTTTTCTCTCAATATTTTCAGAAACAGACACATTAACTATTAAATTTTCCTAATTTCAAAGAAAATGGGACCTTTTTCAATACATTTTAGTACACTTACACTTGAGTAATGCACAGGAATCAGAATTAAATCATGTTATAAAAGTATGGGAAAACATGAGAAAACGGAATGTTGAAGAAAATCTCTACATTTAGAAGATTGACACATAGAACTAAACTTAAAATTTATGCTTACACTACAATATCATGAAACAAAAATATCCTGTGAAATAAAGTTTCTTAGGGTATTTAAGAATTCAAATGTTCAAATGTGTGTGCGTGTGTAAAGTTGTTTTTTTTTTGCTGGGAAAGACTCGCCCTGAGCTAACATCTATTGCCAATCTTCTTCTCTTTTTTTGCCCCTCCCCAAAGCCCCAGTACATAGTTTTATATTCTAGTTGTAAGTCCTTCTAGTTCTTCTATGTGAGCCACAGCTAAAGCATGGTAACTGATAGACGAGTGGTGTGGTTCCATGCCTGGGAACCAAACCCTGGCCACCAAAGCGGAGTGTGACCAACTTTTAACCACTAGGCCATCAGAGCTGGCTCACATGTAAATTTTTAAATGATTTTCTTTCTTACTGTAAAAAAACAGCTAAAGTGAAAAGTTCATTCATATTTTTCAATAATTCAGGCCACTAGAAAATGTGCCCATCTAATGGGACTGAGAAGAAAATGTACTTTCCAACCACCTACTTTTACACAGGTGTCCATCAGAGTTGGCATGTCATTGATGCTCAGATGCATAATTCCAGTGCAGCTGTTTGCAATGTTCTTGAAGCCTTGGACTGAAATCTGAATTGTACAAAGTAGGTGAAAATGATGGGAGAATCCATTAGCATGACATCTAATAAAACCCTAAGGTAGTAATAACCAAAGGTATGTCATGATTTTGCTGCTAAGTTTTAAAATTGAAACTATAAAATATAGCAGACAAAAGAGGGAAAGAATTTAGTCTTGATTTCTTTATTATTTAATTTTTTATAGGTATAGACTGTGAAATTATCACCACAATTAAGTCTAGTTAACTTATTATTTAATTTTTTTTTGAGGGAAAATTCACACAACATAAAATTAATCACTTAAGCCATTTAACCATTCATAATTTTATGCAACCACACCACAACCTCTATCTAGTTCCAAAAAATTTTTATCACCCTAAAAGGAAACCCTATACCTATTAAGCAGTTGCTCCCCATACTCACCTTCTCCTAGCCCCTGGCAATCACTAATCTGTGTTCTGTCTCTATGAATTTACCCATTCTAAATATTTCATATGAGTGGAATTATACAATATGTGGCTTTTTGTGTCTAGTTTCTTTTACTTAGCATATTTTTGAGATTCATCCATGGTGTAGCATGTATCAATACTTTATTCATTTTTATGGCTGAATAATATTTTACTGTATGGATATACTACAACTTGTTTATCTATTCATCTGTTGATGAATATTTGAGTTGTTTCCATCTTTTGGATATTTTGAATAGTCCTGCTATGAAAATGTGTGTACATCTACTTGTTTGAGTACTGGTTTTCAATTCTTTTGGGCACCTACCTAGGAAAGGAATTGCTGGGTCACATGATAATTCTATCTTTAACTCTTTAAGAAACCACCAAAATGTTTTCTACACTGGCTGCACCATTTTACGTGCCCACCAGCAATCTGTGAAAGTTCAGATTTCTCTACATCTTTGCCAACAATTATTTTCCATTTAAAAAAAAATTTCCTAGTGAGTTTGAAGTGGTACCGCATTTTGATGTTGATTTGCATCTCCCTATTGACTAATGATATTGAGCATCTTTTCATGTGCTTTTAGTCATTTGTATATCTTCTTTGGGGAAATGTCTATTCAAGTCCTTTACCTATTTTTTAATTGAGTTATCTTTTTGTTGTTGAGTTGTAAGAGTTCCTTATATATTCTGAATACTGGACCCTTAGATATATGATGCGCAAATTTTTTTTCCCATTCTTTAGGTTGTCTTTTCACCTTTTTAATAATGTTCTTTGATGCACAAGCTTTTAATTTTGATGAAGTTCAATTTATCTATTTTTTTCTTTTTTTGCTCATGCTTTTGGTGTCATATCTAAGAATCCATTATCAAATCCAAGGTCATGAAGATTTACCCTTGGTGTTTTCTTCTAAATTGTATCATTTTAGCTCTATATTTAGCTCATTGGTCCGTTTTGAGTTAATTTTCTTAAATGGTGTGAGCTAGGGGTTCAACTTCACTTTTTTGCATGCAGATATTCAGTTGCCGAGCACCAATTGTTGAGGAGAGTATTCTGTCTCCCATTGAATAGTCTTTCCATTATTGTCAAAAATCAATTGCCCATAAAAGTATAGATTTATTTCTGGACTCTCAATTCTATTTCATTGATCTATATGTCTATCCTTATGCCAATACCACACTGTTTTGATTACTGTAGCTTTGTAGTACTGATTTCTTTCTTTCAACTATCATTATCCACATTAACGGAAGCAGCAGTGGTGGCAAATGTTCAAAATAATGGCTGATTGAAAGATCAAATATATTTGCCTATGATGAATTACCTTAAAACAACTTGTTATTTAGGTTCCATTTCCTATAACAAATGGACATGGATGGGAAATCAGATGATGTTCAGATTCATGAATGGGAAACTGAGACTCCACCCAGGAACAGATAGCAGAGGGAACTCTTCCCCAGAGTAATCTCCACAATAGCCTAACAGGGAGAATGAGGAACAGCAGCTACAATGGATCTCTTGGGAGACCTTTGGAGACTTCATGTGAATCATCTTTCACTAAAGGTGACTTCTAAGGTTCTGTTGTTAGAGCCCCCACCTATTTGAAAAGGACTAGGCAAAAATTAGGGAACTGAGAGCCACATCCTTAAAACAACCAGAGCCCATCTCAAATGTCACTTCCTCAGGAAGTGTCCCTGACCCTTAGATTAGGCCAAGTTCTTGTTATACACTTACCGCCCCATGTAAGTATCACAAACGTAATTAAGTTAATTTTATATTAGTTGTTGAACTAACTTCCCTGTACTCCAGATCCCAGCAGGGTGCCTATAGCATCAAATGAGTAGATAATCAAGTAATATTATTACATGAATAAATGGAAGAATGTATGAATGAATTATGAGAACCATGTGTATTGGGTAGATTCTGCTGCCCAGCAGGCACCGACAGCGTGAACCCAGTCGAAGGCCAGGGGAAGCCCTTGAAAGCAGGAGCTGAGCATGCAAGGTTGAGTGGCTGCAAAAGCCAACCCCTTGGGTGAAAATATATTTGGTGCTATGATCTGAATGTTTGTGTCCCCCCAAAATCTGTATGTTGAAATCTTAAACCTCTAAGGTGATGGTATTAGGAGGTAGATCATTTGGGATGTAATGGTATCTGTACCATCATAGAAAAGGGCCCCAGAGAGATCTCTTGCCCCTTCCACCATGTGAGATTACAGCAAGAAGGCACTGTGATGAACCAGGAAGTAGACACTCCCCAGACACTGAATCTGCCAGAGCCCTGATCTTGGACTTCCCAGCCTCTAGAACTGTGAGAAATAAATGTGTTGTTTCTAAAGCTTGAACAATGTATCTATTTTGGCCCAGGAATTTCTTTGACAAAATTATCTTAAGGAAATAGAGTTGTACACAGAGATTTGTATACAAGAATGTTCATTGCAAAATTACATAACATTGACAAACTGACATCAAACTAAAATTCCAACAATTAGAAATGAATTAACTAAACTCTGGCTATTCCTATGATGGAATGTAATACAGTTACTACAAATAATTTTAGGAGAATAACTGAGATTATGATATAGTTTAAAGGAAAAAATCGGTCGTATAAAGCCTTGCTACTCAAAGTGTGGTCTGTAGACCAGCAGCATCGGTACTACCTGTAAGCTTATTAGAAATGCTGAATCTCAACCCACCACCTACTGACTCAGAGGCTGCACTTGATCAAATTCCCAGGTGATTCACACGCACATTATAGTCTGAGAAGTGCTAATCCAGAGGAAATGAGTGAGAAAAACAATGGAAAGTATTAATCAGGGTCCTCCAGAGAAACAGAACCAATAGGAAATAGAGAGAGATTTATTTCAAGGCACTGACTCATGCGATTGTGGGGCTGGCAAGTCCAAAATCTGTAGAGCAGGCTGGCAGGCTGGAAATTCAGGGAAGAGTTGAGGTTGCAGTCTTGAGTCTGAAATCTGCAGGCTGGAATTCAGGCAGGGTTTCTGTGTTGCAGTCTAGTTTGGGAAACCTCAGTCTTTGCTCCTAAGACCTTCAATTTATAAATGAAGCCCACCCACGTTATGGAGGGTAGTCTGCTTTACTCAAAGTCTACTGATTTAAATGTTTATCACATCTGAAAAAATACCTTTACAGCAACATCTAGACAGGTGTTTGACCAAACAACTGAGCACCATACCCTAGCCAAGTTGACACATAAAATTAACCATCAAAGTAGGAAATACACCAAAATATTAACAGTGATCATCTCTGAAGAGTCGATAATTTCTGTGTTTTTCCAAACTTTGTACAATAATCATGTATAATCAGAAAACTAGAAAGAGAAAAAGGCATCTTTTGCAAAAAGGCAGCATAAGGAAATCCTTGGGAGGCTTTTGAATCATCTTCTATGGACCTCTCCTTGCAGAGAGCTACCAACTACAGGTTGTAGGGAACTCTGCTTTTAGCTCTTTAACTACATTACCTTACTTTTCACTGTAGACATTAGTTGGACCCTCCTACTTAGAACTGTGTCTTTTCCCCTTTGTCTTAAGACCTGGACAAATCGGCCTGGCTCACCGAGTCCTTGCCTGACCCTTAGTATTGAGCCCTGTGTGGTGCATTCTGGCAACCTAGAGCTTCTAAACCTGAGCCAGTTCCCCTAAGACAAAAGATCTAGATGTTTCTTTCACATTGACAGTGCAGGAAGGAGTCCCTAGCAGTAGCATCTAGGCACCAGTCTAACTGTGGGTATAGAACAGAATACTAGTCTCCCAGAGGTAAAGCATAATGCCACTCTACAGCTCAGAGGCCTCAGTCCAATTTCCACTTCAGAGCATTTCATCCTAACATCCCACTAGGGCATCTACAGAAACATAGAACATGATTACTCACCACACAATCAAACACTAAAATTGGTAATTTACCCGATGCCAGAATATAGGAATGATATTCTTTACCTGCAAAGGTTATGGAACTGGATTGAGAAAAACAGCTAGGTCAAGGTGTGGGAGGCAGGCCCCCTCACATACTGCTAGTTGAGAGTGGAAGCTGTGATATCCTGTCTGGAAAGCTAATAGGCAATAGGCATCAAATGCTTAAAAAATGTTTACTATTTCGCCCAGTAATTCCCCACTAGAGATCTATCATCATCATTACTAACAGGTATTGAGTATTTTCTATGTGACAAGCCTTGTTCTAAGGGCTTTTCATGTAAAATGTCTTGTTACATTCTCCCAATGTATTTTTTTCATAAGGAAATAAAGATTCATGTAGAAGATATTTTATTGTAGGATTTATTATAATAAAAGAGAATTAGAAACTGCTAAGATGTCCATTAAAATTAAGATTTCAAACTATATTTAGTGACATAGAAAAATGCTTACAATATAATATTGTGTAAAAGTCAGGATTTGGAATTGACTATATATATTATTATGGTCTCGACTGTATTTTTAAGAGTATGTGTATGATATATAAATAGACAAAAAACCAGAAAGACATATTTCAAAATATTGCTTGTTATCTTTGAATGCTTGGATTATGGATGATTTTATTTTCTTTTATATAA